GGGTGTGGCTGTGGGCGTGGCTTGGTAGTAAAAGCAACTGGGGTGATTTTTTTACTGATTCAAATCATCCCTACCACTTCTCCCGAGGTGGGCCAAGGTGGTTGAATTGCACCCCTGCAACAACCCCCCCATCCAAAGCTACTTCTGACCTAATTGCATATATCCCCATAGTCACATGACCACACCACAGGCACTTGGCAACTGGCTCACCTTTGACCCACTGCAGGGTTCCATAATCACATGACTGCAATTTATGATGGTTTTGCCAGCAAAAAAAATGCCCATAGGAATACATTGATAATGACCATAGTGTTTGCTGCCATGTTCACTTAACAACCATGGTGCTTGGTTCATGACTGTTGCAAAAAAAAGGTCATAAAATTGAGTTCAGTCATGTGGGTGCCTCGACTTACATCCATCATGATGGAAATTCCAGGCTCCATTACAGTTATAAGTCGAAGACAACTTCTATCCTCTCTTCCCAGTTTTCTCCACAACAATTGACTATGAGTGTCCCAAAGGTGCTTTTTCAAGAGGCAACTGGACTTTCTGGGTTTTTGGTTTTTTTTGAAGATGTTTCACTTTTCATCCAGGAAGCTGCTGCTGCTTCCTTTGGGACAACCATGACCTGGATGACTGAGAATCTCCATAGAAATGGACTATGAGCAGTGATGGGATTCAAAAAGGTTTACCACCAGTTTGGTGGGCATGGATAGGTGGACACACTTTGCGTGCGTGCATGTACTTTGCGTGTGTGCATGCACTTTATGTACGTGCGAAACGTGCACTTTGCAGAATTATGCAACTGCTAAAATGCTCAATGCAGTCTTATTCTGCTTTAGTGCTTTAGCAGAAGTATTGCATTTAAATTACAGGAACTAATATTTCTTCGACCATATGTCCCTCTCCCCCAGTGGTGTGTTTTCAAAAAAGTTTACCACTGGTTCGTTGGGCATGGCTTGGTGGGTGTCCTTTGTGCATACTCACATACTTTGTGCATGCGCACGTGCCAAACCTTCACTTTGCACAGGCACAAAGGTGTTCCAACTCACCTCCTGCAAGCCTTTACTCTCCCGGTTGCTTCAGCAGCTGCCGCGCAGCACTCTGCTGTACTGCGCAAAGCAGCTCCACTTCAAAAGCAGAGGATAAAGACAGAGGTGGGATTCTACCGGTTCACACCTATTCACTAGAACCTGTTAACATTTTAAGCAGTTTGGAGAACCGGTTGTTAGAAGAATTATGGCCTAATCCTGTAAGGAAGGCAGGAAGGAAACATTCCGGTGTTGCTTACAGAAACTGCCTCTCCATTAACCCTTATTACATTCTTGGCAGGACTAAACTTCCTGTCTCAGGAATGTCTCTGGAGTTTTCTTTCCTTTGCTGGTACTTTGCTTGTGTGGAGTGACCATTTAAAGTTACAATGCCACTGAAAAAAGTGACTTATGACCATTTTTCACACTTACGACTATTGCAGCATCCCACAGTCACGAGAGGCCAGGTGAGGTGATGCGTGCCTCGATGTGAGTGATGTTGAGTTGGCCACGCCCAACCAGTCACATTACCACCAAGCCACACCCACCAACTATGCCACACCCACAGAACTGATGGTTTAAAAAATTGAATCCCACCCTTGGATAAAGGTGAGTATGGGAGCCCAGGTGGGCGGGTGGGCCCAACAGCAGAACAGTGGAGAGAACCGGTTCGGTCTCCGCTGCTCATCGCCGCTACTGGCTCGGCAGAACCGGGCCAAACCGGTAGAATACCACCACTGACTATGAGGTAGTTGGAGACAAACATGAGGATTTCCCTTGGAATACCAACTCCTATTTCAAATGCTATTTCATATTAGCATTTTTTTAAAAAAAAGTCTGAAAGAAGGTTTCTAATTTTATAAGCAGGACAATCAGAGGCTTCCCCAGCCCTTGCTGAGGCCCACCTTAGAGGCCCTCCTTTTGCCAATCTCTGACAGTAGAGTGTATTTGTCTAAATATCTCTGTACAAAGATCATTGTACACAAACATGAGTAAAGGGAACTTAAACTCATTTTCCTCTTGTCCTTGGACTGAACTCATGGAAGAAGAATAAATGAAGTGGCAAGAAAAAGATGAACCTTGCCCAAGAGGCAATACAAAGGTCCTCTTGTCAGGAAACCCTAAAATCCTGCAGCCAACACGGTTGTGTTAAAAATATTAGGAATATTATGATCGAAGCTAGAGAGCCCAAGGGAGAATAGGTCTTTTGCATGCACATTTTATGCTTTACAATACTTTAGCATCAGAACAAATTACAATGTCACATATTAATGTCAGTTTGGGTTTCAAAATTATAGATTCAGTATGGCAAATTAGTAATCTAAACAAGGAAGCATTTTCCCTAATAACAAAGAAATGTATTTCAGGAAAGAATAAGCTGCTATTGCCTTTTATAATCTATCACTCTATTGCAATGTTTCTCAGATTTGGCAATTTGCTAGCTGGGAGTTCTGGGAGTTTGCAAGTTTGATAAACACTGTGGTAAGAATTGGCAAGTGATAGCTAATGATGTTTCCACTTTGCATGGGCTAGTATTTTCTGTTTCCCACTGCATTTAGGCTGGGATAAAGGTTTCAGCACTGCTGTTCTTTCAAAATGATGTTCCTGAACCTGATTTGCTTCTGGCATTTTATCAAAGATACTAATCTTCCATTACCCCTCCCCTTTCCTAAAGGGGAAATCACTAGAGGAAAGTTTGGAATAAACTTGAACAAACCAGTTCCTGCAAATGCTCAGCAACATTTCTGACTTATCTGTAGCTTGGACCCATCGCCAACCCACTCTGACCTGAAGTCACAAAAATATTTAAAGTGAATGCAGTACCCTGATTCTGGGTCCCAGTGTCACCATGGGACACATCTCAAATTCTTAAACTTTTGAGTTTAAAAGAATGTAACAGGTCAAGGATTAAGCCAATAAACTGCTTTTAATTCATTTAAATCACTGGTTACTAATTCTGATGGCTATATATGCTGATTCCAAGCTCTGAATAATTTTTTTGAACTGGCAATTAGCAGGGTACAAAAGAGAAGAGACCCATTGCCCTCATGCCTGGCTTGTTAATATTCATCATTAGTGGGGCTGACTAAGAGGTGGCATAGTGGTTAGAATGCAGGATTGCAGGCTAATTCTGCTGACAGCTGATTGCTCGCAGTTGGGCAGTTTGTTTCTCACTAGCTGAAGGTTGATTCACCCTTCCATCCTTCTGAGATCGGTAAAATGAGGATCCAGACTGTTGGGGGCAATATGCTGACTCTAAACTGCTTAGAGTGGGCTGTGAAGGGGTATATAACTCTACATGTTATTGCTACTCATAAAAAAATGTCAGTACAGATGAAGCATCCCTCCTTGAAGCATGAAAGCAACTGTGTCTTTTGGGAAGCTCATGCTTGCCCTGGTTATCTGTGTGTGCTTTCATACATACAAGCAGTGTTTATACTGGTATCATGGTGAATTCAGGCACTGTGGCTTTAAGTGTACAATCTGCATTATACATGGGTATTGAGAGGGAAGTGAGGAAGCAATTGACATCACATGCATCATTTGCACAAAGAATTCATCACATTGTTGAAGTGATTTATAGATGGCTATGGCACCAATGTGGTATCCCTTTTATGTTTGATAGTTAGCAGGGCCATCTATGCATATTTTAAAGATAAAGCAGAGTCTGTTATACAAACTAATTAGTAAATTTGCATGATCTTGTTTTTTAAAGCCACTTAGGCCACCAATTATGGCTGCATCAGATGGAGTTGAATTCCACTGCTGTCCCTGTGTTTCATGAAGAGTATTTTGTTTAATTGGTTTTCTAGTGAGAGAACAAGGACCATGATGGGATACCAGTTAGCCAACTGGAAGATGTGCTGCCCAACTCAAGAGAGCACTATCCACACCTGAAATTCTACTGTCGTAATCCTGTTAGATTTTGAAGTCTTGGCATTTCCGTCAGGGACTAGGACCAGATGAGCTGTGAGATAGTTTATTAGGAGTCTCATTGCATTATAATATTGTTTGTTTATCCTGTTATATTATGCATTTATGTATTGTTAGCTTCCAGAGTCACTGAACTGATGTGGACAGCCATATAAAATTCAATAATAAATGGGAAGACCAAGATATTTGCCAGGTCCTGGGATGGAGTAAAAAAAAAAAATGTTTACAATTATTAAAATTACAGTTGCTTAAAGTTCAGAGTTGAAACTGGTCACAAGAAAACAACCTTGGTTAAGCTGACTGGCTGGGGGAATTCTGGGAGTTGAAGTTCACACATCTCAAAGTCGCTGAGGTTGAAAACACTGGGTTCAAACATGCAAGATATTGTTGACCATGGGAGGAATTTAAGTTGGGGCAACAAATTTGTCCAATGACTGATATTCCTGGGGGCTTAACCATGGCTGAGTTGAGACAGAGCTGTGAAACCAAAACATTTTTGCCTTGCTGTGTTGAAGAAATGCATGCAGCTAATTCATAGGACCTTTGTCACTTAAGCAGAAACTTAAAGACCCATCACTGCTGAGCAGCCACACACAGTGCCTTTTTAGGAGAGGGATGATTGGGACGTGGGTGCATTCTCCTAAGTCACCTAGTGAAATGGGACCGCAGCAGGTAACAGCTGGCCAGAGAGGGGGCGACGCAGTAACGTACGAGGAGGCAGCTAGCCTGTATTCCTGCATTTCGGAATGGCTGCTGCTCAAATGACTTTTTAAAACGAAGAAATCTTTGGAAGGTTGAGATTTTTGTAAAGGCGTCAACAGAAAGCTACTCTGCGATCCTTGTAATGAGTGTTTGTGTGGATCTGCTGTACGCGAATGGGGGTGTGTGCGAGGGAGGAGGGGAGAGAGAGAAGTGTATTCATGACTCACTGGCCCCTGGCAAGCCTTGAAATGAATCCCGGGAAAAGAGACATTTGTTTAGCCCTCGCCTTCGCAGCCACGGGGATCCCTGCTTCTTTCTCTCCACCCCTGCATCGACATTGGTGCTTGCAAGTGTAGGCTTAAAGACAAGGGTCCGTCTTGCCAGCCATCGCCCAAGCCTCCTTTCCTCCATAGCGGAGGGTGACTCACCCTCGGCACAAGACCTGTAAGTGGCTCCAACTTGAAGGAAGCAGTCCAGCTGTGGTCTTCCTGCAGCGGGGATTGGTTGTCCGCGGGCTGCGAGGACCGCCACCGAGCGGGCGAGGACTGCGCGGTTTGGAAGGGAGAAGAAATTTCCCCCCTCGCTCAACGGCACGACTAAGCGGTAGCAACCAGGTTCGTTGGATTCAAGTCCTGGGCGGCAGGGGTTTTTTTTTGGTTTTGTTTTTTGTTTTTGACTAAGGTCTGCTTTGAAAAAAGGAGGGGCTGCTCCGGGATTAGCACGCCTCGATGTCTTGCAACTTCAGAGCAACTTTTCAAAACTTTGTATCTAAATTGAGATCATTTGAGGGGGGGGAAAGTTCTGTCTTTCTGTCTGTCTCTGTCTCTCTCCCGACCCCCACCTCTTGCAAGCCGAGATGAGCATTTTAAATATGTATTGTGTGTGTCCGCGTGCAAAACGCAGTGCTAAAAAACACGGCATGTCCGAATGTGAAGGGCTCCGGAGTTGCCAGCGGAGAACAAGAGGCACACCCACCCTTAAGTTTTGTAGTGCTGGAGGAGGGAAAGAGCTAGAAAGATCATAGCGGGATAATGTGTGCGTGCGCGCACACACACACACACACAGAGTTTAAAAATGAGGCTCTTTGGGTTAAAAATGTTTTTAAAAAAGATGCACACTATTGAAACTGGTTTGGGGTGGAGGTTTGTTTTTTAAAAAACTGAGTTTTAGAAGGAGTTGCAGTCCAAAACGGTGCAATAAATTATCTCCTCTCAAATATATGTCTCTTGAATTTAGGAATTAAGAACTTGCTGCTAAATTCTTGTATGTGGGCCTCTTATTGAGCCTGACACAGTTGTGGGAGGCAGGGGGTTGGCCAGGATGGGTACCATCCCTCCAAAATTTCTTTGCAGTAACTTTCTGAGAGAGTTCAGTTTGCAGAAGAAAAATGAAACAATATGGAATGTGGCTTCTGTGTTGTAAATGAAGCTCATTCATTGAGTTTGGTCTTTTCTGGTCCCTGTTACTGAACACAAAAGTCAGTTCTCAGCATTTTGAACACTGTGGTGTGAATAACTTCCAAAACCAGTGTGCTATACTATATGTATACTATGTGGAAGCACACTGTGCATAGAACACACTTTTTAAAAAATGAAGGACAGACTTGAGTTGCAACTGGGATATCTTGGAAGTGTAGTCCTAATTCCCATCCCTGTGCCCATTTCTTCCATAGAAATGAATAGCTCCCATCCAGCTCTATAAAAGGGCTACTGTACCTTTTGGCTGTGGCAGGTGTGGCTTTAACATAGTCATTTTGCCTTGCGAAGTTGTTTCTCAACTTCAAAAAAGTTAAGGTGTTGCTGGCTGGGGAATTCTGGGAGTGGAAGTCCATACACCTTGACATTGCAAAGATTGAGAAACACTACTTTATGCAAACTCACAGGTGGAAAAAAAAATCTTATCCTCAGTCAGATCAATCCTCCCTCTAACACAGGTGTGTCCAATCTACAATGTTCCCTGAGATGGTGCCATGACATGTGTTAGATCACAACTCATGTATTCCCTAACCATCCTGGGCATGGTTGGTTTATGCTCATCTGCAGTAGTTCTCCAGGCACTCAAGCTGTGATCTGCTTGTATTTCTGGAATCCTGGATCTCCTGGACAAGCAAAGCTGGCTCTCTATGCAAAGACAACTTGCATACTCACCTCCACAATGAGAGTACTGTACCTCAGGGGTGGGTTTCTACCTGTTCTGTCCACCTCTGTAGAACTGGTAGCTCTGAAGAGCAGCAGACATAGAACCGGTTCTATGTCTGCTGATGTTTTTGACCACCTGCCCACCCGGGCTCTTACCTGATCTTTATTTTCTGATTTTTTTTCAACTTCAGCTGCTGTGGGAGGCACAGCTGCAGTTTAAAAAGCAGGAAATAAGGGCTTTTTGAAAGGCTGCTTCTCTGCACGCAGCGTGCTGGTGACAATTTACAGGCACGCGCCGGCAGCGTGCAGGGAAGCACATCGTAAATCACCGAACCTTGTTAATGACCAAATTGGTAACCCTGTCGGATCCCACCCCTACTGTACTTGCATTAACCAAGTGGCTTTCATAACCTCTAGTTTATCCACATGGCCATCAGAACACTGATTTATTTTCTGGGGTTGTAAGCAATGTCTCACCAAATATTTCTAATGCAAGAACTGTCAGGTTTATGTTCTTTATACTTGTCATCTTAATTAATCATGGCCACCTTTTATTCTGAATGTTTGTAGTTCCATCTCTGCAGACAGTCACTCCCAGTTTTAAAAACAACTGTGTGCAATACTGAAACATGTGATACCAATTTATGCAATAAATATTGGCTTACTGGAAATGATCCAGAGTTAGGCATTTGCAAAGCCTGCTTTATTCAGATGTTAAAATCCCATTCAACTGAATGGGATTGACTTGCTAGTCAATAGAATTATAACAGCAGAACTTCCACAATGCCTACTCAGAAATAGGTCTGCTGTGGGGCTTACTCACAGATAATTGTGTGAAGGACTATAGCCTTATACAGTAGCTTCTTTCATGTCACTGGACAAACTGAGATGTAATGCAACTGCATCAGTGTTTATTCAGAAGCAAGTCCTATGACTTTAATGGGGCTTATAACTGAGTAATTGGACACGATTGAATCCTTACACAACAAATCTCAAGATTTATTACGATTACAGAAGCAGATCTAGTAGAAGAAACATTGATGGCATTTTTCAGTAAAAACATTTGCACTCTGAATATTCATTGGGCACTGATAGTTCTGGTAATACTGCTGTTAGTTAAATCCCAATCTCAGCATTTCAAACTACGTAAATTCTGGATCAGAGAATGAAGAATGATCTTCCTGATTTACTCTATATTCTATCATCCTTGATTATTGGCCATGCTGGCTGGAACTGCTGGACTAGGAGACCATAAACACACGGAAGAAAAAATAATGTTCCATCTTCTTCCCTAGCTCTTGTTGGTAAAGGACCATAACTGGAACTGAATGAAAGCTGGTGGGCTCCCTCCATTCATAGGCACCTCTGCAAGCAAAGGCCTCATTCAATCTCCTGCTCCCCATTTGAACAATGCAGCAAGTTTTGAAATAATTATTTAGTTAGACTTAGCATATCTAAGCTTAGAGAGGGCTATAAAGCACTGTGAAGCAGTGTGTAAGTCTAAGTGCCATTGCTATTGCTATTGCTCTGACATTTGAATGGTTGAATGGCTATTTATAAAGATGTTTGAGTATTGTGCAGTAAATCTATATATATAAAAGCGAAATACCACTCACGTATCATCAGAAAATCTCCAGAACTGTAAAGCCTACAAACTTGAAATTTGGCATGTATGTTCCTCTTGGCTTCTAGCTGCTCACTAAGAAAGAATTTTTTGAAATGACCATCAGAGCATTAGTATTTCCTATATTATTATTTACATGCTCTGATGCTAAGGAGTTCTACTCCCCACCTGAAAAGAAATCTGTTCCAAATGCAAAACCCAAGCAGAGGAGAGGAGTTTCAGTTTCAGTTTTAGTTTCACAGCAGCAACCAGCTTTAGTACAGAACAGTTGAGGTAAGCCACACCCAGGCTCCTTGCTGTCTCCTTGCTCACCCAGCAAATAATGTTTCAGTTTCCAAACAGCCCTCAGCTCTTCACACACTGACAGGACACTATCAGATGAATACTGATGGATGCTTGTAACAGAGAAGGAATTTTTTCCCCTTATTTTACTTCCCAAAAACTAAGTCTGACTACATAGTTTCGTAGCGAAGCACGGGTATCGAGCTAGTATATAATAAATATGTTTAGGATAATACAGATACAAATTAATCAAGATAAGCAGAAATTTCATCAGCCATATTTTAACCTAACATTTTCAGTTAACCTAGCCCACGTAATTTATGTCCTTTGTGTTTTACAAGTTCATAGTATTTGAGTAAACTATGCTTAAATCACCCATTGATAAATATATTGTGAGAAAGTGTTACTATCTGATTATTAGAATATCATTCATACCTAATTCTTCCTTCTGAAGGCAAAAGAGCTGGACACTCTGTGGCATTCTTCAACTAGTTCTTTGCAGAAATTTGACTTGACAATTGCATGTTCTCAGTTTGCATTTAGTAAAGTATTTTATAGTAATAATCAGACTGTTTGGTTATATAAATATCGTATTTCTACTTCCCGTCTCATGTGGCTTATAACTATTTTGAGCAAGTCAGCCAGAAATACCAATATATTTTTCTATTATAATACATATTAATATGGATGGATACATCTGGTGAAGGCTTGAGTTGACAGAGAACATTATGTTACAACTATGATCTCTGATTGGAAACATCAACTCCTTCTCTGCTTTTTGTCTTATTGCAAACAAAATACCAATGGAAAACCAGCCTTAGCATCTATAAAAAGGAATTATCCCAATTTAATTATATGGAGAAGATATAAGTTCAGAGGCTGTGCAGATTTAGAGCGCACACAGTGCCTGTCAGGAATACCGTAAAAAGAAAGGTGTTTTTTCTTGGGTTCACCTTCTGCAGCTGAAGAAATTTGCTGTACTGCTGCACAGCCGTAATAGTTTCTATCAATTTACAGTACCAGGTACATGATTGTTTTTTATCAGGGTAAGTTTTTTTGTATGGGCTACTAGAATGCTCTCACTTTTCTAAGTTAACAGCTTCTAGCAGAATTCAAGATCCTAATAAACCATAGCATGAGGCTCTTTTCAATTGATCGGCCAGCTGGCTGAATCCTGCTGGTTCAGCTCTGTGTTTGCAGCCTATCCATAAACCAACCTTTTCCTTTAGTTCCCCAGCTATTCTCCCTCTTTAAATTTCTTAAACTAATGAAGCAGACAGCAGACAGCTAAGTGAGCTAATCGTGCAGCCTTTAGACATCAAGGAACCTGATAAAGGAAAGAGTAAGAAATAGCAATAGTAGTTTAATCATTTAATGGTAGGGATATAGTGGGTGCTCCTTTTAAAACAAGTCATAGCAAATGGGTGTGTCAGACTGGATTCTTGGCCAAGTTATCTTAGATCACAAGAGGTCCTTCAGAACTCTTCAGCCCTTCAGCTTCTAGGAACAGCAGGATTTTTCACATTTGTGGTTCAGTCCATACAATAGGATTATTATCATCTCTGGGCAG